CAAAGTGTCCTAATGAACAGAAAATCATCAAAATACATGTAATTCGATCAAATATGAAGTAGTGTAAAAATGAGAAAGAACCCAGTCAAGTATGAAGTATTTTAATACAATGTGCGTTTAATCTTAGATATATTAACTAACTCTTAGAGCCGGTTTTGTGTTGTTACGCCGCAGGGAGCTTGGGCTTCTTTGAAGTCCTTTAATACACATGTACAGGCTCTTGATATGTGTTATTATAAACCAAGCGTGAGATCAAGAAGGCTGGATATTGATCAAGTTCTTGTTTCGCATTCACGGATCAAAAAAGACGATAATAACAACGCAAAAAAGAACGAGGAGGCCAATATCCAGCCATCTTGCCCGAACAAGCTGGGACAATAAAGGATTTATTTTAATTGTGACCTAAATCATAGAAATCTTTTGCTCCATAAAAGGGTGTCGCCCGTGTCTGTTTATATCAACATCCTATAAAGCCAGAAATATAATATCATTGTTTTCTAGCTTCGCGGCTAAAATATTTCGTAACTGCGCTAGCCCCCAAAATTCCTGCGCTTTCTGGTGAAAACAACCCAGTTTAACTCTGAGAAACTGGCTCCAGTTGTTTATCCACCAGAAAAATCGTTATCCAAAGGACATGAAGTATTAGGGACACCACTGAATTGCGTGCACTATCCGTTGGATACTGAGATTTATTCAGTGCATAGCGTTAGCCACCTTTTGAACGACTGGGGCCTGGAGATTAAACACAAAGGCGACAAGTTGGTGTTCCACGAAAAAAAATTGTGTTCCAGGAAAACTACACGTTTTAATGCCGAACAGTCCTAACAGGAAGAAGCCAAGAAAAAAGGGACCTTGTTTTCCCCAAAAAAGAGTGTAAATAAATAAGCAGCAAAATTGATTTTAAGGGAACACGTCAAACGTCAACAGTACATGTTTGATGGTGTAAAATGCCGCGGGGGAAGGGGCTACTCACGATAAAATTTAGATAGTTTTACATACCATTTTCCCCGAAAAGGAATCTCTTTCGTCACCTTCCATTGAAAATACTACCCGGCTTTTACACGATCTGTCTAATAAGAATGAATCGCTAAAACAAGAAGTCTCTATGTCACTTAGAGTAACGTTTGAATAAATGAAAATGATATAGCAATCTTATTTAAGTACTTAAATGAAAGATTTTTGCACCCTTTTATTTACTTCAACAGTGAATTTCCTTGTACTATGTCTTTGATATACTTTACTTATAGCCTCAAAAAGGTTCCCCTATCGGGGAACATTTTTGCATAAGCTATAAATTGTAGGAAGCCCCTAATCCCCCCTCCCCGCGTGTAAAGCATCTTTGAAAATCCGCCTGACTTCATAAACTGGTCTCTCGCTTGCTACTGATTCTAAAACCAAATGTGGGACAGTTTTCTAGCTTTGCTTGATGAAGACCTGAATGCAGAATCAAACAGTTCTGCACAAGCTAGTTTAAATTTGATTTCAAGTTGATTGTCCTATAAAGTGACTGTAGTTGTTTAGTTTGTTGCAATACAGTAAAATCTTGCGGCGACTTAGGGCCTGTTTGCATGGAGATGGGGGACCCCAGATAGGTGAGGTAACATGTGGCAGGTCACCCCACCTATCATGTAAACGTGATCAAATTAAATTGAGAGATCATATGGACAGGTGTTTCACTGTAGGACACAGAACGCGGAATTCACTGGAAAATCAGAAGTGGTCGACAGAGAGATTTTGATTAGTAATTCACTGGAGGTACAGTCATTCAAGTGTAGCGAGGATCGTTAACTGCTATCTCACTTGGGATTAATATCAACATTCATTAATATAACTGGTGCCATCGGTCATCAAAGAAGCCATCAAGGGGAATGAAAAGTAAGGATATGATAATCTGGGCCTGTTATGTCTTCCGCTTTATATTGACTCAAAGGGCTTATATGTTATCTTTGTCATTAATGAGTCAGCGAAAACACAATGGCCAACACGGAATATATAAATTCCAAGAATATTTTTGTCTGGAAACTCCATATATAAAATAGTGGCCCACTAACAGTCAGTCTACAGTCAGTAAAGTTCAGCTCAGTTCTTCGTCACCATTTAATAAACGCGCAGTCTATTCGCTATTAGCCCGGCAGCCGGGTAAATCCTTCGATACAGAACAGGTAAGAACCAGAACTCTATCTAGAAGACGTTTTTTTTTTATATAAACATGTCAGTATCTCGTAGTTTCTGATCTGACTCGTCTTAGCAAACTTTAAAGAGTTACTACTGGCTGAATTTATTCATATTGGATTGAAGTTTACTTTCTAACTTGAGTAATGCATAATGCTGGGGGAAGTTGTGTCTCTTAGCTTTATCATTAATAGTCTGACACCCCTTAACTTGTGACGAGTAGATAGCAGACACTTCTTCAGAGTATTACACTCTTATTTCATCGCTTTCTTTTGTTCACTGCGTGAACTATTGAGCACTAATTGTTACGAGATAGTGCTCTACGGGTTACTTAAAATGAAATGATCAAACTATCTCGATAACTATTAACAACCACAAGTTTCTTTTTTCCGATTAATCTTCTCCTATGTGCCCGAAGTCTGATAACATTGATTTAACCCTGCTTTAAGCTGGGTCTTCAAGCCACCCTCCTTTTACTGAAGCACAAAGTTATGAAGCAAAAGCAAAATTTATGCCTTTTGAGGGGAGCAGTTACACAGTGCTACGGCTGTGGATACACTAGAATTAAGAACGATGAAGGCGGTTATATTTTCGGTGGCCGTCAGCGGGCTTTTGTTGTGGCTTGTACAACTGAGCCAAACGAACCGCTCGATGCCTGATGAAGTGTGCAACTGGCCCTGCATTCTATCAGTGAATTTAAGCCGAATTTCACCAAATTGCAAATATAGAAGTAAAGCTAAGTAAGATGAAATGCAACTTTTTACTTGGAATAAAACGTTTTAGTGAACAGTACTGAGTGGTTCTTTCAATTTAACGAAAACAGTATCGAAACTCAGTTGAGAATCACTTGGGCTCAAAATAACAGAAAAAAATATTGCACAACTGGAAAGGTCTAAAATGCACTTAATGCACTTTTTATTTGAGTGTCAATGTATTTAGCACGAAAGTGCTAATTGGGGACTCTATATTTTACGTCTCCTAATGGAGACGGGACCGCCATTTTACGTGGTCATCCGAGCCACGCGAAGGTCTCGCCGCTTGCAGTGCA